GAAGAAGAAGAAGAAGCAAAAGGCATGGGCTAAATGTGAATATTACTAAAAGGATCACTATATTTCGTGGATGTCCATGGAAATTGTGATAATACCAACCTGTTTTTATGTTAAAAGCAGGTAGCAAGTATAGTTTTTCCAATTTAGAGGAATTGCTAAAGCAGGTGTCTTTGTCATCAACATACGTTACATGTAGAATTTCGAAGTGGACAAATTGAGTGAACATTATGCTGCGCTAGCTATTCCACCTATTATCATGCGCAAAGGTTTCCTGATGCCAAATTTGTCAAGTGCTCCAAGTTCACGTGAGATCACTGAAGTGGAAGCCCTTTTTTATAAGAATTCCACCCTAAAAGGCGACAGCTACCACCAGCTCTGATAGAATCTGCAGGTGCAGAGGATTGCGAGAAACTTACACTCTGCAATTAATTACCCAGACCATTAAGTCTCCACAGATTTGGCTTGTGTCAGGCGGGGTGTCCTCTGGGCCATAGCAGTCACCACAGCCCTTCTGTACATTCTTCTTGTATTCTCTGGCATCCCATCATGACCTCTTCAGAATTCCAAGATGACTGGTAGCACTACATACACAGTGGATGAGTACTTCCCTTCCAAGTTATCAATAGCATCCTCCAGCAAGCTCGACAATGAATAAATTGCAACTAGAACTGAATAATGGATCAGAAAGGTCATGTAGAAATGAGAGACATAACTACCTGCAGTTTTTACTTGAATTTATGAAAAGCAAACTACACAGATTTCCATGGCTCTTGGTAAATATAGGACCTGCCTTATATTTAATTTGAGTGGCTACAATTCTGCACTTCTGCACAAATGAATCCTTGATAACTGTGTCACATAGACGCAAAATCATTCAGCATTCTTTGGTGTGAAGTCACCCGAAATGACTTGCATTGATATAGCTTGGAAAGAATGCACACTGTCTTGCATAGCCATTGCAGGCTTTAGACAATGCCATCTACTGTCATCGGGCTAATTAAGCAGACGAAACTTTTGGACGAGGAAAAGTAGATAGATGAACTCTTGTAGTTGATCAGGCTCTTGTAGCTCTGTCAGATCAAATAGCACTTTGGGGTACCATTCAAAAGTATTTGCAAAATACTGCTATCAATACCAATGGGGAAGAACAAACATTCTAGGAGATAGATATATGTAACAAACCATATTTTTTTGAGAAGTGGAGCGTAAGTGGAGAGCAGCCACATGATTATCCAATTTGATTTGCCATCTACTCATGCGAGAACAAAAAAATTTGGAGGAGAACTTCGTTTGTACACTGGTAGATTGCCTTCGCAGAACATCAACTCCTACAAATTTGGGTAAGATAAACAAGCACTCCATTTGGCAAGATTATTCTCTTGTGAGATTCATTAAAAATGCCAACGACCAATTTGTTAATTGCTTCCTACTTGATGACTCTCAGTTTGCTTTTATAATGATTATTTAGCACCATCTTGTTTGGTCAAGAATAGGTGAGTGATGGATTTGAAAGGTTGTGAAGGAAGGGACAGATGCAGGGGAGAAGTGAAAAGAGATGAGGAGAAAATCGGAGACTGAAGTGAAGGCAATTGCAGTGACTGCAGGAACATGTGAATGACGCAAGTGAGACATTTAGACGAAGGTAGAGAAGAATTAGCGAAAGGGTAGACGAAAGTAACTAATGAGTAAGGTGTGTAGGATTTGGGGACAGGAAAGAGGGGAGGTAGCATAGATACGCGAAAAAGAGGCTTGAGACTTCGAATAAGAAAAGGAGCTTGCATGGCAACGATTTTAATGAAGAGGGATTAAAAGCGGTTTGTCATATTATAACTGATTAGCATACGTAAGTACAGCAAATGGCTATCATCACCAGAGAAGAGAATAATTGTTTTAAGATTACCAATTTGTCGTTTAACAGATTGATAGGTTTTGTAAAAAAGGGAGCAAATTTGTGCCTTGTCAGCTACGGTCCTGACAAACTGGTGTACAAAGAGCTAAGCAGTGTTTGTTAATATGTTGCTGTGAGCCTTCTACTCTAAGCACCTGAGTCTTGACGCAGCATTCCAAATGCATTTTTCGTGTCCAGGATCGGAAATCCACGCAAAATGTCTTTAAATATAAGCATATCAGTAATGGGTTGTATTTATCAATTACTCAGTTAATTGCAAAGGTTGTAAATTACCTATCATGCATTCAAATTACCTGCTTGATTTTGCCATTGAAGAAGACCCAATAATGTCGTCTCATACTTGAGCTAACATTTGAGAGCGTAAATTTTCTAACCTTACCTACTTTCCACATACATAACTCCTTCGCTAAACTAAACATGATCGGCAGCATACCATTTGCGCAATCAAATGAGTGATCAAAGTATGTAATTTGTTGTCCCAGAATATGGCTTGCCATGACTAAATCTACGGAATATCTTACTAATGTTAATCTTAATGTGGACTTCATCCCGTAACGAAAAGTATTGCATCAAAGCAGCAGTTCAGCATAGCATTGACTGCGTTTACTGGGCAAGCTTAGCAATTTACTCGAAACTGCAGGAGGCTGCAGACGATGAGGATGGTGTGACCCCAGCAGAACCCTAGCTTTTGGTTCATCAGTTCTTGTAAATGAGCTAAAGAAGAGTAGTGATATACAAGGTCAAATTATAAACTCTTTTGTGCAGTTGTATAAAGCAAAATCATCCCTGCACGAGAGAGCAATTATTCCTAGGAATTTTCAGTTTAGAAGCTTGCATCTGTAGTGCGAAACAAGAGGTCCACTTATACATCAAGTCATTGTGTAAAAGCCTGTAGCTTTATTCTTTACCAATCAATTTTTGCATGATACATTCTTTAAGTGGTACAAATAAAAATGAAATATCATGTAGAGGCACCCACTGCTGCAGCAAAATCACTGCTTTATACATTTCTCAACATCAGCTACGGTCTTCTGTTTTAAACATCCTTATGACTTCCTACTGTTGGTCCCACTGAGTCGTTCGCCTGATTTGTCGGTAGTATGCGGAGATCCAGCTCCATCGCATCTAACCAAATAGCATAACCTCTCGAAAATGAGACTGGACCACTTCGCTAGCCACTAGATGAGACCACAAGTACTGATTTCTCATCGTGCACCCGAATTTGGCATTGAAGAACTTCGTTTTAAAAGCATTTACCTCAATCATTCTGAGTAGGTAAAAATGAGTGTAGTATTTTCGCAAATATAAAGCCGTTTATAACAATTGACTAAACAGTGCTGTCCAAAAATATTGAGCATGCCCTTTTCCATTGTTGAACTGGCTGATATCATGAAACCTCAGCTGAGGCAACTCAAGCATTCATAAGCCAAATTTCCGGTAACTCCGCTAATGACAAGTGTGCTATCGTCAGACCAAAAGTGACCATCTGTTAAGTCTCTAGCATTCAGCGTTGCAGAATTTTGTCATGACTGAGAATGTGTACCTATACCCCACTTTCGTGTCCTTCACTGAAGAGATATTTCTGATCTGAGCCTGTTAATAGTGACGATTTCTATTAGGAAATTTGGAATGGCGTAAAGAGGTAAGCACACCAACCGCACCCTACCCCACCCTCTAGAGGATATAATGTTTAAAGTGATTGTATCGGCACTGGAAAGCGTTTTCAGAGTCTAGCATTTGTTGTTCTGCACACACTACAAGTCATTTGTTCAAAGCCGAAGATCGACTAATCATCAGGGGAAACGCTTCAGGCAGAATAAAAGTGACTGACACCCAATTCCAATGTCTCGCTTTCGTCCACAGTGTGCCTTTGTTTACGGACGCTGACATAAGGGTGCACATCCTTTACTTAAGGACGCACAACTGTGATTTTTTTTTACTTTTACAGCTTCTGACTTAGTTCAGTCTATGGCCAAAACAGTCTTGTAGCCTGTGTTTTGTGTAAGTCTACTCTTCCCTATAATTTTGAGGGATCTAATTTGTCCTATTGCGGTCCATATGGCAATAGCTAACACTCTGGCACCAAATATAAGAAAACTTCCACGCCTCTCTGTTGGCAATCCGGGTACTATCGTATTGTCATATCCTACCATCGCAGACACAGTCGATGTACCTATTGTCACATATTTTGTCAGAGCGACCGTGTACTCTTAAAACCAACTATTGGGCCTTAATGCCAAAACCGCTGTCAGGCATAAGACAAGAGAAAGAAGGAAAATAATGCTCGTAGTGCAAATAGCGTAGTAAAAGTTTTTCAAACCTACGTCTGGCCGCCATCACTGTCTGTCTCGATAGCTATCTATTCTGGCTGCTAAATCACACCACCTCAGGTTTTACAATGATAGTAGAGGAAATATAACGATGATCAGGCAAGTCACTAGTTCGCCAGGCAGCTTAATCTACTAATATGGAATGCAGTGGTGTAAAACACTCTCTGCGAAAGGCGCGGAGTCAGTTTCATCCGTTTCCTACCCATGTTGTAGCCATCAACAGTACGCGACTACCGATATTCATTATACTGTGTATACCCACCTAAGGAAAATTCAGTGAGGCCAGATGGCATACAGTAGTCTTTGTACTCAGTGCAACGCCTAATGTTATGCTGTACATGTTACCAATGTCCGCATCCATGCATCCATGTATGTCACAAGCGGACTCACCAAAACAAACTATTGTGTCCCTCTTACTGCCTACATCCCACCACAAGTCAGCTCCTACTCTTTTAACCTATAAGATAGTACCTCAGATCATAGACAGCATTTGACACTACTGTGGAGCAAAGTAAACCTAGCTATTGAGGATGGTTTTGTGGATAAAGCAGATCTTTCCAAAATGCATCATGGAGCAGACCTAAATCACATCACCAATGGAAAACTTTGCTATTACAGTTCATCAAATAACCCTTCCACCAATTAATTGCAGCTAACTGTTTAGTTAGTGGTAGCAATTCCTCGTTTGTCTAACCTACGTGAAGCATACCATGGAACCACTGAAAAGCGCATGAAAGCTCATACTATTGAGCTTCACAGTTAACAACAATGTTTCTTACTGACATTCTAGACGCAGTGACGAACAGTCATTTTCGCCCACTCAGTTCCGCAACTTAGCTCAGTTCAGCTCAACAGCTGGAGGCTGCGACTGTGCCCTTTCAAGGGCATAGGTACGTTATATCACGTGGGCTCTTTACATTCCGTTTTCATGTCTGCAACATCTGATTACTGCAGCTATGTTTTTAACCATGTTGTCATTTGTGGTGGGGGCATGCTTTTTGATCACGACTGCAATTCTGGTATCATTTGAGACCAAATAGCACTCATTAGTGTTCACGACTAGTATCTTTTAAGTAAGACTCAAACTACATGGTCAAATTAGGCAAACATTGATGTTCATCATTTTTGCAAAGTTGTGCTGAGTAATGTTGTTATACAGGAAACAGTGACTAACTACTCTTTCCCATGGTTTTAGTTTAAATTGCTTTGCCTGCATTGTTGCATCAACCCGCGAACCATTGAGAACTGGCGTTAACATAGGAGGAAGGGGAGCAACCGGTTTCATCATTGCGTCCTGAATTTACAAGATCCCTAAGCTAGACTTTATTGCCTCTACTGAACCACTGACGCATAGGAGTGAAGTGGTCAAAATGAAGATCCCATTTCTACCATAATTTGCATAGGCAATCTAACTCAAGCATTGTCCCACCGGGGAACTTGTAGTAGGAAGATTCGCTAAATGATGAAATTCCATGGACCATGCAGTCATGCTGCATGGTCAAGTTGTAGATAGGGCATTAAAGGGGCACCTGCTTGCTTGAAATCTTTTAAACTTAGCTGTGAACGAATAGGCACGCAAATTGGTCCAGAGTGCTCACAGATGATATGCAATGTCTCCCATAACTATGTAGCTTTTTTGTTTCCATGGCCTCTAAGGAATAGTTGGGGAAGTCATCTTTGAATTAATGTGAGTAAAATACGGTATCTGATAAAATTCTTTGCAAGTAATGAAATACTTTGTCGTCTTGTTTTACAGAGGAGTGAAGAATTGATTGTAATTCGTAGCTCCATTGTGATATAAAATGACGTAGTAGCTGATAGTCATCTTAGAGCTGTTGATATAAAGCATGGTGGAATTGTCGTGGGTTTCCACAAAAGACATGCAAGATTAAAATCACTTTCCGAAATAGCCCATGAGTACAAATGACGTAGTGTCCAAATAGCTGATAACTTCAATTGATCATAGCGGGTACGAAATAAAAATGCCAAGCACTCAGGTGGTTCATCGTCTCTTACGCATGACATCAGAGTGTGGACCTGAGGCAGATCTCTGTTGAAAATGTTGGTTTCATTTAGTACTATGTTTATTATGGCACTGAAGAAATAACACTTTGACCAAGCCTTGAAGCTAGTTCCACTAACTTTAATACAATTATCTTGGAGTGGTTTACTCTACACTAGGTAAATACTCAATGATTCACTCCACATTCTTCAAGGTGGGCTAAAGTGAACCACTGAAAATCATTCATTAATTTTTAAGGTTCCCTTAATCAAGACAGTACTCAGAGAGCACAAAGTGGCGTATACCAAATCGACGATACAAACATTGTGCTTCATAGTACAATTGTTGATGTAGTAACATCATAGTTGTGCTGATGGAATCTAGTTTAAGAAAACAATCGTCTTGTTTTTATTCCAGTTTCATGCCTTCTTTAAAAAACTTTATAAGAGAGTCAAATTGCCTTTTAAACACTTTCCTTTTATACTGATACTTGGTGGATTAGTGAGCATTCGTTCGGATGACTAGCTTGGTGTCGCTGATCACGGTAAAAGCCAATTTGTGCTCACGTTGCCTTCACTGACGGTAATTATGCTTGTTTGATGATCACTACACACCGGCGTAGTGTCTACATTCATCTATGAAGACGAAACGTGTCTTCACGCTTGGCTGCAGCTCCACGTAGCCGACATGGTATAGTAGATAAACGCATTTCTCCAGCCTTCTTATTTAGGTGTTTACTGAAGTGAACGAAAAGCTAATGAGACTAAGTTAAAGTGCATTCACACTGCCTCTATTATATATTTTGAAAAAGAAGAATTGAAAGCACAACGGCATTATAAATTCATCCTGTTTAGGTCCTATTTTCAGCAACAGCAGTAGCTGAAGCACACTTATATGATAAAAGTAGATAAAGCAAGTGCTATCAAGTATTAGTTACTCAAAGGGGTGGAGGCAACAATTTGGTTGCACTACACGTTGATGGAATGCCTTGCCTTTGTTCCTCAAAGTTCCAGTTCAATTGGAGGTATACCTTGGTGAAATTTGACTAAGACGAGACTAGGGTTTGCAACTCAAATGAACTACTGAAATATTTAAAATATTGTGTTTGTACATATGAGCATTGCGTGTGTGTGATATTTAATTATTTATTTACATTCGGGATTTATCTGATTATTATCGTCTAACGGACCATGCCAGAAGTCCATAAAAAATAAGTTTAGTTTTCGTTCCTTAGCATTTCCTTGTCATCAGAGGCAGGTGTAGCTTTTGCAGTTACCACATTTCCTTTTGCGCTCAGAGAGGGAACAGATTGGCAGAAAACTGCAAATACATCCGACATGGTAAACGACGAAATTTGACTTCTAGTGAACTTAGATATAAACAATTTTGATTGCTATTTGCAGCAGACGTAATGTAGTTATGCTACCCCAGCTTGTTGTGCCACATTCATGTTTCCTCGTGAATTTAAATCCTACCATGCCATGTCAGCATAAATGATGGTTCTTTTGAGTAGCTTTGGTGGATGGTAAAAAAATGGATTTAATCAGTTAGCTTACTAGTTGATACTATGGCAATGTAAATACGAAACATGTCAAGGGCAATTCTAAAGAAAGTGACATTTGAATGGATGCTTCGGTAATGAATCTTGGGGACAGTGCAGCTTCTATTTCATTTGGTAAGAGATACGGCTCTCAGGAGAGGAGGTTTTCTTTATTTCCTTTAGCATTAACACAACAGCTTTGCTTCGTCTCTTAAGAAAATGTGAAATTACCAAAATCCGCATAAGAGCATCTTCTTCTGAATAAATAGGAATGAGCTGATTTGGAATTTTAAATGTTGCCAAAAGCAAGATTCTACTTGACTGAGAACTGTAAAAGAATGATCACCTACGAGCATGAGTAAGTAATGTTATAGTCCGCATAACCCCTTCTACTACCTGTCCAAAAGTTTCCTTTTACTAACTAGTCTGATGGCGGTGGATGACACTTTTGAAGCCCGAAATGACTTTGTGGTAATTGCTCGTTCCTTTTGATTCGCATTAATTCAAGTCAAGCAGTACCTGTTATTTACTTGTACAGTTACAGAAATAAGTTATCTAGAATTCGTCTGCAGACAGGTGTAAACTGCATTTACCAGCCCTTTCGATAAGGCAAGCTTGCTTTATCGAGAGTAACCATATCTTCGCAATATTTGTTTGGTAGATTAACCGGAAAGTTCAAGCAATATTATTTCTCATATACACTTGGCTTTTTTAATACATCATCCAATTTGATAGAAGTCTATTGCCTGTCATGATTACCAGGAGATGCCTTTGATAATTTGTAATGCAGAACTTTTATGTGTATACAGCACCCCGAGTCATTTTGGAATTCTTAAGAGGTCACAATAACATTACAGAAAACATATTACTAGTGTACAGAAAGGCTGTGACCACTGGTATGGTTCAGAGGCCACGCCGCACGTCACAGGCAAAATCTTGTAAGAACTAAGTGTCTGTGTAATCAATTGCAGAGCGCAACTTCATTGTACTCATCGGCCGAAGCTGATGTTGTTGGTGGTTGAGGTTGTCATCCTTTAAGGCCAATTCATTGTAAAAAAGGAAACGCCATTCGAGAGCATTTTATGTGGCCTTTTGGAACTTGGAGTGATTGGCATTAGGCAACCTTTAAGTATGATGATAAGTGGACTAGCTAAAGTAAGTGAATTTTCACTTAATTTGCCGGCATAATGTATGTCATTTCCTACACATGCTTTAACCAACTTATTCGCTCATCCTACGTCATTCCCTATTCTACTATGAATTAAACTCTGGCTACTTTGATACCGACAAATATTTTAAGCAGGCTGGCTGGCATCCGCTTATTTTCCATTGTATCGGTGTCATTGGCATCGGCCCTACTCCTATTGCCCCTTATTTCTAGAGGTCCTTTCGAGGTGTTTCATCGCACTGCACCCTCAAGGGTGACTTAATGACTATGGTTAGTGAACCAAGTCGAAATACCCAGGTATCTCGACTTCGATGTGTGTATGATAAAATCTAGGCTGAATAGAATGCAAACATCACACTCAGTCACTTAACCACCATTTGTTTGGTGATGTGGACATGAAGAAGTAGGTGTGTGAAATGCATTTATTTTAACTTTGTACCATAGGAACCCTGATTCTTGCTTCCTAGTAATATTTGCAAATAGCTGGAATAGAGGATTAATTAAAGGCATAGTGGTCGTAGCTAGTGTTGCTATCTTTGGCAAACATTTGTGCATAAATACCTAGACGACAAGCACTTGACGCTGCATTGGGTAGCTTTGGCTTGTTAATCAAGTGGTACACCACTCCAAATAATCCGTAGATGACAACTGATTTTCCCGCCCTGTTCAACAAGTGTTTGCAAACAAAATTTGTAACCAGGTTCAAATGTTCATTGATGTAATTGCCCCATACCGCGCTGTGCGTGCGCTTGTCAACATTAGCAATTC